AAGAAAATGGAAAATAACGAACAGGCCGAAGAAGTGACTTCCTACATCGTTGTACCACAATATCATACAAATTCAATAAGTATATATTACCTACAAATAGTAATAATAATATTAAGGGTTAACCCTTAACTTGGCGGAGTATCTTTTAGGATACGTCAAATTTGCGAATTTTTAATTTAATAATATTTAATGATGAAGTWTAGAGSTAGACTATACTGATCGGYCGTTACTGATGTAATTGCARATTAACAAATGCCCACTGCAAACGTCCGATTTTCTAGGGCATCACAGAATATTTTGTTTTATATACTATACCCACGTCCAACTCACATTTATAGAAGTATAATAGTCCAATATAATATATTAACTTGCTCAAATTGTTTATCAATAGCACCAATACAATTATACATATAGTGTGTACGTAGACACATGGCTGGCTACTGATTGGCTGAGTAGTTTCGTCTTGTATTTTTTCTGGCAGACAGAACCTCCACGGGTATTTAGATTTGGTTTAAAGTCATTAATGTGCRCAATTTCGTATACATTATTTCGGGAGAGTGTATTGGTCGGAAACGACAAATACCCTCGATAGGTGATTCTATATTATACGTCCTATTTTCTATTAAGATAAATAAGTATTGTTTCGAGGTATATATTTATAGGTTCTAAAAAGTAAAAAACAAAAGGAAAGTACAAAAGTAATTAAATTGTATTGAAAAAAAAATTAAAACAAATTAACGGTCGACATAATTAACTTATGAAGTAGGTACCAACGTGTTCAAAATCATAACTAACAGTTGTTTGTAAAATTAATTTCGCCGATACGTAAAATAAATAAATCGTTACATTTTTTAACGACTGTTATTCCGTGCGTAAAACTAACATTTTTCCTACTCCCACCGACATAAAGATTCAAAATTCAAATATATCCAAAGTATAATATATTATTATAAACCATAATCATACGCTAAAAAACTAATTGTGCATTCGCATAAAAAATGTGCAATGCAACTATGCAAGCGTGTATCTATTATTAYTCKTGTTATTGCCGTTCTTATGCGCGCAGGCATACATCTTGTTACAAAACTCGAAGAACACTGTCGGCTGCGCTGGTGGGGAGGTAGTGGATAGACCAGTGTGCATATAGGGAGAGGAATCAACTTTAATACCGGAACATCCGATGCGAAATAATTGATTTGTGACGGGTAAACGAGCTGTTGGCGTACCTCCGGGCCTGAAGACTTGATTAAAAGCACGCACCCTAGTACACACWTACATTATATACAGGGTGAGTCACCGAAAGCACGCTTATCTCTTTTTTCTTCAATAATGCGGTCATTCAAAATCTAATTTTTGGAATTTTTAAACATAATTAATTATCGAAATTCTTAATATTTTTGTACTACTTAAGGAGGTTTCTTGCTGAGAAAATGTAAACTTAAATTTTTCAATTTAGAACAGGGTTTTCTACGAGAAACAATTTAATGGATAACACATTTTTRATATATTATCAGAATCAAAATTCGAACTAGTGACTATAGTTGTTGAGCTGTATAACTTTGTGTACCTACTAAAGTACTAAATATGATGTAATTCTACGATAATGGGTTTAAATCATATATGCTGCTAAGATAATTTGAATATTTKAGTGATTAATATTAATTTATCAACATTATTAATATTTTATAAAAATAATCCATATATATAAATACTATAGATACAATATTACACATCAACTATTTTATATATTTTTAAATAGTTTTTAATGACTAGATATATTAACTACATATTAACTACCGTATAAATATTATGCAATAACTATAAAATTACACGTTTAGTTTTTTAATTAGGAAACATGTATGCATTTCAGGGTAGCGTGCTTGGTGAATTATACCCTGTATCTTTTTGTATATAAGCACGTACAGAAAGAGAGTGAGATATAAAACGAAAGGGTGGGATGCTTGTCACCCTTCTCATATTCACCATCTACGACTAGGCACCATCAGGCACTGTACCTACCTAATATAAGCATATGCATCGTCTGTGTGTATACACACTTTTATATTGGAAACCGTTCAACGACGACAAATATGTCCATAAAATATTATATATAATATAATAATGTGTATGTATTATGTAACTTATATTATATACATATTAGAATATGTTCGGCAATAGTATAATATTTGCACAGTAAAAACACGTCCCGCGCACAACCTTAACTACTACCCACACCCTGATGTGTAACACGTGTCTAAGAAAACACCACATAATATCTGTATGTAGGCAAGCTACTATATATAGTATCATGTGTACAACAACAACAACAACAACAAAACCCTTAACGTTTAGGACTTTTAGGTAATGAAAATTTGAAAAACATAAAAACATATCGTGTGTTTATATCATGTTATAATATGCGTTTGACGATGATATGACGTCGATAGAAGAGGTTAAGTATTAAATACTTAATAAAAACAATATTTAGTTAGGTATTTACTTTTAGGCAGATCTTTGTACAAGCGACTTAACATATCATACGAGTCAAATAAAACTGAAAGTAAAAATATAAGTTAACACAGTAACATTTTTTTTTTAGTTTTTTAATATAATTTTTTCGATAGACCAAGTATTTTTACAATGCGTTCACAATGTCTTCAAAATATTATTACGTTAATTAATTAACGTTTAAAAATAAGTTTACGGATACATTTTAGCTTGATTATGAGTCTGGATAGTCCTCTTATTGAGCTCCAATTGCTTCAAGTAAAACATCTTGTGGTAGCCGTGGCTTAAAATTAGAGTGTATGACATAAACCAGTATTTTAGAAAATATTTCATAGACGATCTGGAGTCCAAGAATGTTTGATTATATAACATAACATTAAAAAAAAAAATACTGATGAACATTGAAAGATGGATAATTATAAAATTAAATTCAATAGTTATTTTTCTTAGATGAAATCGAAAACTTTTAAACTGATCTAGTGAAATGAAATAGTAATTATCCCAGCCATTTTGTTTGGATTATGAGTTATGTCTTATAAGCGTTACCCGGTATGACTGTATACTAGAATGAGCTAGTTTAGCTTTTAAAAAAATTTCGTTTTCTGAAACATCGCTTATTCAATATAATAATTTTTGTGAGTGATTTATACCTATATAATCTAC